TACCAATGTCTCGACGCCTTAACAACCGCTAGGCTACCACGGCAGTTGAGGAACCGAGTTACTAACTTGCTATTTGAGCGTACTCGCCTTTCTTCGCTATAACGTGTTAATTTTTGGACTTTTTCGAAATTTTTTTTTGCGGGTAAGTTTCTGTGGGTCTGATTGTTCGATATGATGCAAGTAAAAAATTTTTAATTGAAAAAAAAAAAAAAAAAAGGAAAGTGGGAGCGCTGGGATTCGAACCTCGTTTCTAGAAGTCGACGTTTCGGAGGGCTGATCTGAAAATTCCAAGTTTGTCGCGGCTTAGAAATATTTATTTCTTTTTAATAATTTGAAAGTATTTTAAGAAAATTAATTACGTATAAATAAATAAATTGAATTATTGTTATAAATTTTACCATGATTAAAGATTATAAAATTTATTCAAATAAAATTTCTGAATCTAAGAATTTTTCTACTCAAATTAACAAGATTGATTTCTTTAAAATAATTTACTTGATTCAAGTTAATTTTTTTCTTTCAGTGTATATATTCTGAAATTTTCTTATGTTTAAAACTGAGACAAAAAGATTTATTCTGTTTGAAGACTAACAAAAAAAAAATTGTAAAACTTGATCAAAACCACTTGTAACAAATTTCTCACCTTTTGAGCTCTAAGGACATAAAAAAAATTTTAAAAGCCCAAAAGCAATTCACAACAAAAACAGCTAAAAGCTCGTAAAACAAAGCGTATTATTTTCCGATCAATTATCCTGATGAGGAGCGCAAAAATGGCCGAGGTAGTGTGCCATTTTGACGTTAAATATATTCGTGTGAGTTATAGCAGAGTGAATCAAACAAGGGTGTGGCCACCCCAGATTGATTCGCCTCGGTACCGGCTTCTGCGCGTTTATATTCACGCACGCGCTTCTACCCCTAGGCAACCATCGCTTTTACTTTTTATTAACTTAGCTGTTACTCCCATTATTATTATCATTATTATCATGTCTTTTTTATCAGGTAATCAATTACTGAGAGGGACGACAACAATTAGCTTAATGAGCTTTTTTACACAGTAGAAAATTTTGCGTTATTCCGTCAAAAAATTTTGTATTAAAAATTTTTATGTTAAATATTTAAAATAAATTTTATATAAAAATTTTTAACACAAAATTTTTTGACGCAATGAAGCAAAATTTTTTATTGTGTACATATTTATTAAGCAGAGTTTTTTTATTTATTTATTTTATTCTATTTAGACCAATTTATTTTTTATTTGTTATTTTAATTTTATTTATATCGTTAATTGATCAATCTGCAACAGGAAATTACATGTTACATATCGTAATAAGACATCAAAACGTTGAGTGTCACGGATGACTCTCTTTCTGACTTGGGATATAGACATATTGTTAGTCTGTTAGAGATTTTCCCATGTCTTTGTCTGTTGGGATAAAAACTGTATTAAAGATTAAAGCGAGGCAATCGCAGCTCAAGATTATTGTGTGTACTAAATATTATTATACATAACAGTTCGGGTTAAGCTTCAGAGGATTCGAAGACTAGAGGGATCATTAACACCAACAAACCCTCCTCCCCTATTATATATATATATATATATATATATATATATATATATATTATTAGGAGCATTAATAGCCGGGCCGGCGATCTTTGTTCTTCCTCTGCACTATTATTATCTCACCAGCAGAATGACACGGCTTATACTCAACAATTATTTTTTAAGACAAACATTAAGAATTGTCACACGCCGTACTCCGTGTCCTCTTGTCCTCCCAGTTTAACGTTATAATAATTATATATAGTTTTAGTTTTAGTCAATATTCTTCTTTGATTTCTTTTTTTATTTAAAAAACTTGAAAAAAAATTTTTTTTAATGAAAAAAACAAAAATTTATAAATTTTCACACTTTTATAAAACAATTCTTTAATTCAAAAAAATTTTTGCTTAAATAAATTAATTTATTACTCATTACATTATTAATTAATAAATAATTAAAAAATCGAGGTAAATTGTAAAAATTTTTTAACGAAATAGAAGAAAATATTTTTTTTTTTTTCATTATACAATTTTAGTTTTTGGAAAAAATTAATATAATTATTCATATATTAATTAAGAAAAAATCAAAAAAAAAAAAATTAAACTTTATAAAATTACTCAGAAATTTTATAATTTAAAAATGAAAATTTTTTATGAAATAGAAAACTTTTAATTATATTTTGGTTTTTTGAGTAATTAGCTCGTATTTGCAAAAAAAAAAAAATAAACAAATTTAATCCACATGTTTTAAAAAGAAAAGAAATTAAAAGATTACTTAAAAATTTTCTAAAATTTTGAACATAGAATAAAACTTGATGAATTTTTTTAAAAACCAAATTTACTTCCAAAAATTCTTAAAAAAGAATTATTAAATTTTACCAAGACTTAAAATTAACTATTAAAATAGTTTTCTAAATTAAAAAAAAAAATGATAAATTTTTAATCTTTAATAAAACAATTTTTGTTACGAAAGAATGTTCGAAGCAATAAATTTAATTGATACTCATTACATTATTAATTGAAAAATAATTAAAAGATAAATTGTAGAAATATATTTAGAAATTTTATAATGAAAGTTCGTAATGAAATAGAGAAAAGCAATTATTACGACTTATTGCTCGAAAAAAATTATTACAATGAATATTTATCCATTATTAATCACATAAATAGGATACGAATTAAACAAAATTACTCAGAAATTAAATGACTTTGTATTGAAAATTCTATCAAAAAGAAAATTTTTTTCAATAACATAAATTTAGTTTTTTAAGTGAGAAAAAAAATAAATAAGACTTAAAAAAATTTTCTAAAATTTTTTAACATAGAATAAAACTTAATAAAATCAAATCAACTTCCAAAAACTAGATTAAAATATATCATCAGAAGCTTTTGATATAAAATTAACCGATTAATATATACTTTAAAAAAATCAAAAGCATGATTTGTTGTTGAAAGGAATAAAAAAAAATCAATCAGTACAAACAATAAATCAAGCAATAAAAAAAGGCAAGATCAACCGATTAAGTATTTTAGACACGTCAACAAATTAGTTTGGTTGTTTTGTCAAATCATCGTGATCGCGTTAACATGAAAACAATTTCTGACCTTCTTCACCTCGGATATGCCCCCATATATCTGACAATCATTCACTTACACATTATATATAACTCATGCCCAGTCATATAAATAATAAATAATAAATACGAGTAAAATAAAAAAAGCTACGGGAGAGAGTTTAATAAAAATTTAAAATACATGAATAAATTTAAGTGTGTTGCATCCTCTGAATATAATTCATCAATAGTGAGGTTGTCCAAGTAAAGGGGCGTTTGTGTTGCTGTTTACCATTAAAATATTATATTATTTCTGTCCGTGTTTATACATACATAATATTACAGTGTATACTGTCCATAAGTCGTTTGTAAGCCCAGTAATAGATATTATGTGTATGGACAAAAAAGGTCCATCTAACTTGCAGTCCGGTGTTTTATAATTTTATAATGTGTGGCACAACTCTGCAAAAAGCTCGACATGCTGCACACTGACAGTGTTTGCGTCCACGGAAAGGGAACGGAATACATAAACATAATATAATAAGATGATATGGTGGATGCTGTATAGCAATATAATGTGACTTGCCGAGTTAGAGCAGATACAGAAGAAGGCGTTACGCGTGTACAAATCATCCAAGAAATGACGCAGCATGGACGGCCTACGACCTAAACATGTTCTTCTTTCTGTATACTCTTGTTTTGTATTATTGTATTGTGTTTTTTATTTTTTATTTATTTTTTTTTTTTTTTTTTTTTTTATTGTACTATGGACCTATGTTTTGTCTTTCACACCATACGCCACTACTTGAAATATTGAGGAACGTTTTAATATAAAATGAAACGGGATAAAAAGGAAAATAATAAAAATAAGGTTTTATTTAATATACTGTCTGCATATTAACGGGATTATCAGCATACGGCAAGTCATGGGTATTTTTAATTTAATGTTTTATTATTTTGATTTTAAAAGTCATTGTCAGATTTAATTGTTAGGTTTTAAATTTGGTTAATTTAATAGGCTGATAATTATATCTATTTTTTTTTGTTAATTGAGGGGAAAATTAGAATAAAAAATGTTTTTTTCTTTTATTATATCAGAAATATAATAACTTAGAAAACTCAATAATTTTTTTAGATGAAGAAAAGTGCTAAAATTGATTAAAAAAAAAAATTTCAATTAAATAATTAATAAAATTTAATTTTAATTTCTTTTTTCAACAAGAAGAAAATTTTTCTGTGTTTTTAGAAGGAGAATATTGAAAAAAAAAAAATTTTTTTAGATAAAAAAAAGTTCTAAAATTGATTAAAAGAAATTTTTGATTTTTAAATGATTAATAAAATTTTTTACAAAAATGAATAAATTTTTTTTAAACAAAAGCTTAGAATAATTAAGAAATAACCTTTTATATTGTGCACTCTTGACATTTTTAAAGATATAAGCTCACCCCGATGTTACTTGACGTTTTTAAAGATATAAGCTCATCCCGATGTTACATTCATCGAGACCTTTCATTTGAGTACCCACATCATTTTTTCATATATTTATATATAATATATATATATATATATATATATATATATATATATATATATATATGTATATATGATAAATATATCAAAATGCATGTAGGTACTCAAATGACTGCTCTTGATGAGTGTAACTCCGGGATGAGCTTATATCTTTAAAAACGTCAAAATTTAAGAAAGTACAGTACAATTTAACAAAAATCATTATTTAACAAAGCAAAATGTTATTTATGTATAGTTCACAAGTCACGGCAGTCACATAGTGACTGCAAGGTTGCTAGTCCCTAATAATTGATCTAAAAAATTTTTTATTTTGTTTACAGACCTCAGACCTGGACACACTATTATGTCGCCAAGACCTTGAGCAACTCCAAAAGCTGGATGAAGATGACCCGGAAAAGAGCGCGCGCGAGGCCTTACCAATTGAAGACTTCTTCGAGACGGGGCCAGTGGGAGCTTGCAGACCCCAAGCAAGTTTTGTTTCCTCCCGGAGTCAACCAGCGAGCAGCGACGATGACGTCTTCCTCAGGCCACCGCTCTGGGAAGACATCACCTCGAGTATCCAGAAGCTGGACCCGGAGAACGCGGACATGCTCGGCTCCCAGTCGACGCTTTCCGCTGCTTCCTCGACCTCTCACGTCAAAATGGAGACCGAGGACGTGACCTCGCCTGTCCTCTCGCCTGTCGAGATAAAAAGCGAGCCTCTCGCCCCCCAGCCAACTCTCCACCTCCTGGAGGGCCGTCAGACCGTCGGCTTCCGGGACCGAAATGGCCTCAAGAGCTTTCAGAACAATAATAATAATAACACTCCTAATAATAATAATAATAATAATAATAATAATAATAATAATAATAATAATAATAATAGTAATAGTAATAACAACAACAATAATAGTAGTAGTAATAATAATAATAATAGTAATAGTAATAATAATAATAGCAGTAGTAATAATAACAATAGCAATAGTAATAATAATAATAATAATAATAACAACGACTCGCCGACGAACCATCACAGTCATCAAGGATCGGGTACTGCGAGCTCGCCACTCTACGGATCGATGACGAGGCTGATGTACGTCTCTCCGTTGACGCCTCCAATCTCAGACCCCGGCTCGCCTCTCGGTGGCCCTCCTAGACGGACTCCTCCGCCTCCTTACCCTCAGCCACCTATGCTGAATCCCTCGCACAGGATTCAGAGCTCGGGGATCGCTAAGTTTAATCGCAGAAATAATCCTGAGCTGGAGAAACGCAGAGTACATCATTGCGATTTTATTGGTAGGTTTTATTATGAAAAAAAAAAAAAAATTAACTTGTTTAAAAAAAAAAATTCTTGAATTTTTTTAAATTTAATTAAATCAAAGAAAATTTTTATTCTTATTTCAAGATGATCGAATTTGTAAAAATAATTTTAATTAATTAATTATTTAATTAAATTAAAGAAAATTTTTATTCTTATTTAAAGATGATCGAATTCTTAAAAATGATTTTTGGGTTAAAGAATTTTTTTTGAGAAATAAATGGTTTTTTTTTAATAAAATTAAAAATTTTTAGTTTATATTCTCTAAAATAATTTATTCAAATATTTTTATTTAAATTTAAAAATTATATTCTTCTTTTACACTTGTATCAAATTAAATTAATTCAAGAATAAATTTTTGAATTTTTTAAAATTTAATTAAATCAAAGAAAATTTTTACAAGAATTTTTATTTTTAATTGAAGGTGATTGAATTCTTAAAAATTATTTTTTGGTTAAAGAATTTTTTTTGAGAATTAAATAAATTTTTTTAAAAAGAAATTGAACATTTTAATTTTATAAGGTGAAAGACCCAGTTACTGACACTGGCCTAGTTGTTTGACACTTGCAATTTTATTCCAGTTAAAAAAATAAAATATTCTCAAAAAACCAATTTTTTTAATTTGAAATAAAATTACAAGTGTCAATAACTGGGTCTTTTACCTTATTATAAAACAATTTAATTAAATTTTTCTAATTATTCTTTACTTTTTAATTCAATTAAATCAAAGAAAATTTGTAAAAGAATTTTCATTTTTAATTAAAAATGTGATTAAATTTTTAAAAATGATTTTTTTTTGATAATTAAATACATTTTTTTAAAAAGTAATTAAAAATTTTAATTTTATATTCTAAAATAGTTTAATTAAATATTTGTAAGAGAATTTTTATTTTTAATTGTTGATCGAATTTTTAAAAATGAATTTTTAATTAAAAAATTTTTCTTGAGAATTAAATAAATTTTTTAACAATAAAATGGAATTAAAAATTCAAATTTTATATTCTAAAGTGGCTTTAAAAAATAATTTAATTGAATATTTTCAATTAAATTGAAAAGAGTCTTTCATAAAAATATATCAATTAATTAAATCAAAAAATTTTTCTCTAAAAATCAGCTGATTAAAAATTTTATTTAAAAAAAAAAAAAATTTATTCTAAAACAAAATTTAATTGAAAAAAAATTTAGAAAAATAGTAATTCTAAACTAAGTAGAGCGCATCCAATAAAAGTGATGAATAAAAAAAAAAATTTCTATTCCAGGTTGTACAAAGGTCTACACAAAAAGTTCGCACCTGAAAGCCCACCAGCGGATACACACAGGTACTTATTGACGTAAAATATAAATAAAATAACTAGAGCATTGTCAGCTTTGCTTAGCTTGTTGCATAATATAAATTGAAAGCTTTTGTTAGCGAGGATATATCCGGAAACCGGCGAGTAAACGATGAAAAATAGGCTTTGATGATGTATGATGTATGTTCCTGCAATGAGCAATGAGCAATGATGGTCAGGGCGTGGCGCGAATCCAGTCCGTGTGGGAGCTAGATACTTCTTCTTTCTTTATCTGTATTTGTATTTGTATTTGTACCTGTATCTGTAGTTGTTTATCGGGATGATAATGCACGGCAGAAAGCAGAAAGAGTTCAGTACAGCGACGGCAAGGTGTGCGACGAGTTAGCGACCCACATCCAGCAATATCCACAATGTTGATTCGCTAGTCGATATTATTACCGGAGACTACTCGGTACTCTTGACTACACACACAACTATAAATATAAATACATTATCCGTATAGTAGTAGTGTGCAGTGTTTGTTGCTCACCTGGTGTCCTCATGAGGAATGCAAGAGGCGTCTCGAGTGCAATGTACCACTTTCAAAATGTCCAGTTTCCTCTTACTCTAGCTCATGAATTATTCAAATCTGAAATAACAGATTACTGATTGTGATTATAGTTAATTATAAATATCTCGAAAATGGATTCTTATGCTCTCTACCTTCTTCGACGTTTTACATTACCGCCGTAATCCGTATCATCCAAAATTATTAACATTCGACAGTTAATATGGACATCCATTATCATTTTCTTCATTATTTCATAATTATTTTTTTTTCAAAATTTAATTAATTAAAATTTTTTTTTTATTTTTAGTATAAAAATGAGAAAATTCAATAATTTTTTATTCTAAAATTTCAAGTTTTATTCAAAAATTTATTAACTAAAATTTTTTTTTTTATGATCTTTATTATCGTCATCATTTATATTATTAAGAGAATAAGCAAAATTTGGTGGTCAGCGTATTTATATGATAAAATGGGTTTTTATGGTTAAATTTGGTCTCGTTAGAAAAATCTTGATCTGGACTTATGATTTTTTATGATTTCATATTATTTTGACTAATAGAATATTTATGATGATAAGTATTTAGGCTGCATTCGAAAATGCTCTATCTCTATAGAGATATAATTAAGAAATGACCTTGTATCTTGTAAACTATTGACATTTTTTAAGATATAAGCTCATCCCGATGTTACACTTAATAAGACCTTTCATTTGAGTACCCACATCAATTTTTCATATATTTATATATATGTATATATGAAAAATATATCAAAATACATGTGGGTACTCAAATGAAAGCTCTTGATGAGTGTAATATCAGGATGAGCTTAGATCTTTAAAAATAACAATAATTAAGAAAGTACAGTACATTTTCACAAAAGTCATTATTTAGTAAAACCCTTGTATCTTATGAAATATTGACATTTTTAAAGATATAAGCTCATCTCGATGCTATACTCATTCAGACTTTTCATTTGAGTACCCACATCAATTTTTCATATATTTTATATATTTATATATACTATATATATGTATATATGAAAAATATATCAAAAATGCATGTGGGTATTCAAATGAAAGCTCTTGATGAGTGTAACATCAGAATGAGCATATATATTTAAAATATAAATTAGATATATGTATATATGAAAAATATATCAAAATGCATGTCGGTACTCAAATGAAAGCTCTTGATGAGTGTAACATCGAGATGAGCTTATATCTTTAAGATCATCAATAATTAGTAAAGTACAGTGCAATTTAACAAAAGTCATTATTTAATAAATCAAAATTTTATTTATTTATAGTTTACAAGTCACGGCAGTTACATAGTGACTGCAAGGTTGCTAGTTTAAATTATTAAATTTTATTTCTTCATTTTATAATTTTAAATTTCAAAAGCTTCAATTTTTACTCTAAAAATTTACAGCAAAAATTTTTTTTTTTCCATCTATTATTATTATCATTTTTATTAAATTTTATTTTTTAATTTTAAAAGCTTCAACTTTTAAAAAAACTTTAATTTCGTTTTTTTTTTATATTTGTTATTGTCATCTTAATTGTTAAATTTTTATTTCTTCATTTTGTAATTTTAAATTCCAAAAAAAGTAATTAAATCAATTGATTCCTTCTTACAATAATTAAGAATTAAAATACCACTCTAACAATAAAACAAGTAATTTACAATTTCTTCCTGCAACAATTAAATTTAATTTATTTTCAAATTAGATTTTTTCAAATTAAGAATAGTATAGAATTTTTTAATGACAAAATAAAGAGATCAAGATCAGAAATTAACAAAAATCCGTTCATTAGAGTGACAAGTGGAATTCAATAGTCATGTGGCTTTGATAATGAAGATGATGATGAGGGAGATTAATAGACCGCCGTAGTTGTAGTATAGAGCAACTCTAGGTATATTAGGTACATTATTCATATACATATGTACACATATAGGCATATAACAAGTCGCGAGACTAGACTCTCTATTCTATATTGGGTTTGGTTGATGGTGTTGGGCACGTGGCGGTCTTCTTGAATGGAAGAGCACCAGTACATCAGCATCCGAGCATGATGTGAGTCCAGGACGCATTCATGAGTAGATACACTGTATCCAGGCGCCTTCTTACACACTTTCATTCTTCTATACATAATACCAGTAACACGCGGGACGATTAGCCAGCAGTGTGTGAGTCAATATAAACACACACACATATATATTACAGACAAGATACTCTTTATGTATAATACGCGAGTAGCGTGTGCGGACAGCATTCCTTCTGTACTATATATATATATATATATATATATATATATATATATATATATAT